TAAATTTCAGCTTTTAGAGTAGAAGTGGTATATCTGTCAAATACACTGTTCAGTTTGACTGTGTGAGTTTTTTTTCCCTCTAATTAGTTGTGTAGGTTATACAGTGGTACCTCAGTTCTCGAACTCATTAGAACTCAAATTTCTTAAAAGTCGAACCAACCAGTGTGAAAAAAAATTACCTAGAACTCGATCTCGGAAGTCAAACCGTGAACGCCGATCTAAGATAATTTGTACGCGCGGGGAAATGAGTCATGCGGCACGTCTCTCAGCGGAAACAAAGGGTAACGCTTCAGTCTCAGCCTCGCATTCGCTGTGATCGTGCATGTTTACACTAGCTGAATACATATATTTAGACAGTAAAAATACATTTAGACAATGATAGACAGTAACAGTAATTATTATATAATAAAATAATTTAAAAATAAAGACTTCTTATTAATTATTTTAATATCATTAATAATAAACCATTAATACATTTAATTATAATAATATTGTGGTGCCCAGCGGGACGGAGACAAAGGTGGAGACGTCAGGGTATTGGGGAATAAGGGGTTTAATTACAGGTAAGGCAGGCAAAACACAGACGGACAATACAATGACCGGACTGGAGAAACAAACTGAAATGCGGACTAATAACAACAACCAGAAACAGCTGATCACACGGGATTCCACACGGGGTTAACGAGGGGGCGTGGCACACGGAAGGAGCGGACGATCAGGGCAGGACACATTGTTTGTTTGTTTTTTAACTTTACACATTGTTTGGCTACATTTATTTTCTTACTTCAAAAATTACTGTTTTGATAAATGTGCTTAGATGTCTTTAGTACAGTATATGCTTTTCTTGTTTTGTCCGGTTCATTTTGTGTTTAAATGCTAAAAAAAAAAACATATTTCGGTGTAATTTTTAGGGGCTGGGAACCAATTAATTGGTTTTCCATTATTTCTTATGGGGAAAATTCGATCAGAACTCAAACTTTTTAGGATTCGGTCCGGAGTTCTGAACAGATTAATTTCGAGTTCTGAGGTACCACTGTATTTTATTTAAGTTATGGCACATTTTCATCCTGTTACTGTTATTGTGGTGTTATCCCAGGTAGTTAGAATGGATGATCTGCAGTTTCCTGCTTAGACGTAGGTCTAGTTCTGCCTACATGATTGTTAGATTTCTGTGTGTTTTTGAAAAATGGGCCTTGTACTTCAGTAGCAGTTTGCAAACATTTATTTAATTAAGCACTTCTCATACAATGAGGGGTTGTCCTAGTGTCAGCTGTTGGTATATAAAATGGGAATGGTTTGTTTTTCTGTCAAGTACCCAGTGCTGCTTTTTGAAATTTTTGGTTTTAAATTCTTTAACCTATGTGCAGTTAGGTTTGAAATTAGGTCAATTTGTGTTCTATATTTTAAAAGCTGGAATGCAGGTAAGGGGATTAACTGTTTATGGGTCAGTGACAAATAAGCATTGGCAAGATTACCAATTCAAAAGTCTTTATTATTTCATTAAAGGGTCAAAAACATACAACAAGATGACATCAGGTCATTGGAAAAGAAAGGTAGAACAGAAGAAAGGAAGGAAAAAATAATAATGAAATCAACTAAAAAAATACAGTGACATAACTATTAGTTGTTATTATACAGTTTATATGTATAGACTGTTGAGACCCAATACTGAACTTTCCCCTTAATGGTGAGCATGTATTATGTGTCAGCTTGTGGCATTGGGGGAGATAAAAGTGATACATTGGGAGATAGAGGTAGAAGAAGGGCAACGTAGGAGCAAATTTTGGATAGAATTTTGTAGATGTTAGATGCAGTTTACTTTTAACGGTACTATTGAGAAAGTCTGAGTGTAGTTCTATATCAGCATCTGTTATATTAATTTTAGATTGAGGATTTTAGTTGAAGATATTTCAGAAATTTAATCCCAAATTTTTGCATCAAAAAGGGGAATCAAACTATTCTGAAATATATCCCTGAGATAGGTAATACCTTTGTCAGACCAAGATTTAAAGTATTTTTTATTGACGGCAAAATCTGGGTTAGTCCAAATTGGGGTATTATTGGAAGGTAGAAAGAAGGCCTTATTGATTTGCATAGTAAACAAGAATCATGAATTCATGTATTCTAGTGTTATGGCAGGGTATGGTGAAGGAGTGAAAAGAGGGACAATCCACAGAGCAGCTCCAATGAAAAAGGTTTTTTTTAACAAAACTGAAAAATTAACAACAAACAAACTAAAGAGACGACAATGTAAACACAATTAGGGGTCAGAGCAGAACAAGGGGTAGGACTAGGAAACAAGCAGCTGCTAACAAGCTACAATCACAGACCAAAGAATGGAATGAGGGCAGGCACTGAAATCTACATAGATAACAGGGCTAACAAGGGGCTGGTATGGAACATAACCAAAAACAACCTGTCAGCAAAGGCATGGGACAACAAGCAACAGGTGAAGTAACATAATTAACAAGCACAGAACTAGGAAACCTTAACATACACTGAGGGCTAACACTAGGAAAGACTAAAAACATAAATATAAACATAACAGAATTAAACCAGGTATGAGCAGGGTAAACCTTAAACAGGGACACAAAACAGACATAGAAGAACAATATAAATACTAAGGGTAAAATAAAACCAATATCCATTAAGCCGCCAACCTCAAACCATGACCGGAGGGACTCAGCCCATGAGCCACATGCTCAACTCATTGAGACATGCGGTGGCCCAGGGAGCAGTGAAACACACCATGGACTAGGGGCTACAAGATACAGAGGGGGAAGCAGGATGGCCATTGACACCTGCTGACCAAAAGAGTATAAGACACATAGGACAGGGTTGGACAGGCACCGATCCTAACAGTTTCAGTTAAGGAAAAATATCTAGCAACAACAAATCAGGATAAAAATGTGTTTGTGTTTCTGTCTCTGTCTGGTTGTCTTTTATTACAGATTATTACAGATAATAATATAATAATAATATTGCTAATAATGTTGTGGAATAATCACTTTTTCTAAAAATATAACAGTGAACACCTGAAAAAGTTCCCCATAGTAAGTTAGTTCATACTACATGTTTAATAAGCATCATAAACTAATGATATTGCCCTCTAACTTAAAGGCATCAGGGGTTCATTCCTGTGATATTATTTCCTGTTACATGGATTTTCTTGCACAATATGAACAAATGGCTCCTTCACACTAAGGAAATTGACCTGACTAACATGAATCCCCAAATTAATTATAATATTCAGAACTTTTATTTTCTATTAAATATTTATAATGTAAGATTATGCCAAACTAGCTGATAGGGTGTTATTGAGAATTTCACCTTTTTAAAGCAAGTTTAATTATTTGGAATAATGTTTTTACGGTTACACCACACTGATATTCCCCAAATAATCTTCAAATTGAAATAATACATTTTACAGGTCCCCAAAAAAGAAATGTATGCATGTAACTTCTAAGTTTATTTTCAAATTTTAGCTCTTTTAAATTTAGCTAAACCATATGGACACAAAAAATCTGCCACTTTATTGCCCTTTATATTAATGCTTATATCCTGGGTATGGCGTTAAACTGCATCCGACCCTGCAAGTGGTCCTCTAACTTGCTGAGAAAACTCAATGGGTTGGTGGCGGGATTGGTGCTTCAACCACCATAAAAAAAAATTAAAAATCATGTCAGCTCTGGCCAAGCAGACACGACAACTTTCTGTTCTCCACGGGTGTAGCTCTGCCACAGCCAGCCATAGCAAGGCTGCACGCATGTGGAACGTGGAACGTCTTGTCTCTCCGGCAAGATCTTCCTCTGCTGTCGAAGAAGCTTTGTAAACTCCACATTTCAGTGCTGCTACTCTCAGAGGTACAGAGACTTGTTATTGGTCTGATCACTCTGATGGCTGCCATACTCAGTAGCTGCGGACTCTAATGTGATGTGGGAGACTTTCCACAACAAGACCCTGAAGGTTGCTGAGGGTTGTGTTAGTGTTGCCAGTGTTCCCAGAACGTGCTGTTTCATCTCATAGGTCACCTTGGATATTATTGAGAGAAGTGGCAGCACACCACTTGGTGGCAACTCTAGTCTGTACCAGGAATAGAGGAGGATGGGTGTGAGGGCTGATAAGTAGGCGTTTGTTAGAGGAATTTGTGAGCAGGTGACACACCATCTGTGCTGTAGTGACCCACGTTCTGCTTACAGAGGAATCAAAGCATTATGCACATCTCAATCACATACTTTGAGCAGCTGTTTAAAGCTGATCCTCCAGCTAGGATGTTGGTATCCGGTGTGAACTTCTCCAGGTTGGTGGTAAGGCTGTCCTCTGTGATCATTTGCTCGCCTACCAGTGACCAGAGCAGTCTGGTTTTACGCCTAAGAAGTCATTGATCCTGGCACTGAGGGATCTCTTTGAGCACAAATGCGAATATCGGCAGAGGTTCTTTGCAGCCTTTGTTGATTTCCGTAGTGTTTGACTCGGTTGATCGAGCTACCCTGTGGGAGATGCTGAGACTTCACGGCATCCCCGTGAAATTGTGGGATGCTATGGCAGCCTGTACACGGGTACTGTCAGTGCTGTGCAGAGTGGAGAGAGAACTTGTGCGTTTTTCCTGGCTGATTCAAGGGTTTGTCAGGGATGTGTTCTTGCTCCTACTCTGTTTAATTCTTGCATGGACTGGGTGTTGGGCAGGGTCGTTGGTGAAAAAAGATTCAATGATCAACAATGTTGTTATCCTCACAGAGTCAATTGAGGCTCTGATTGGGGCTGTTGTGAGACTGAGCGAGGAGTCTGAGTGTCTGACCTTGCGAGTGTCCTGGACAAAAACTAAGATGAAGAGAATGCATAACACTAAATGGCTGCTTATCCTGTTTATCCTGCTTATGCCACTCTCCTCTTTCACCTGGGATCTGTTGAAATTAGTCTCAAGATTACATGCAGCATATTTAGCTATGTAAGGCCTAGCTGAGTTGTCATCATCTCATTGGCTCCTCTGCTCTCCTCAGCTCCCAGGCAGGGCCCCCGGCGCAGCTCCCTGGAGGAGGTGATGGAGCTTTTGTGGGGCGGCTTCCTGCGTGGTGGTGGTGGCGGCAGCTTCCTGCGGGCCAGCGGGGACATACTGAAAGGGGGCAGCTCAGTGAGCAGGGACGTGCGGGTGGGCATCACGCAAGTGAGTACGCCCTCCCACTAGCACCACCACTACCACCATCATAATGACTGCAGGGTACCAAGACCTATTATAGCATGTTCAGTGAATGGCTCTCAGTCTCTCCCTGTTCATGCTTAATGTGGTTCCTGCTTTTCTCATGGTCCTTCCTGTCTACAGGAAGTACACTGCACTATGCAGCAGTATCACCACAGAGTGCATGCTTCCCATCAGTGACTTTGTAAGCATGGTTTGTGTTATATGTTTTGTGTTTGGATCATTATAGTAGTGTGAATAAAACTTTCTACTGGCCAGTATAGAAATACAATGTTCAGTTTCAGTATCAGAAGGAATTCTACAAAGATACACACATTCATTAAAGAAGAAGATTAAAGTGAAATTTTGTCATTGTTGTTAATTATTGTATTCGGATAGCGAACACATATGCTTTTAGGACCTTGCCCCAATAGCTCAAAATGTGTTTAATTGATTTTTGCAGGCACATTTTGTGGGTCATAGACTGGAAGTGATCAGATTTTGAGATATATGGCACCAAAACTGAAGCAGCACCGTATAGTGATATCTAAAAAAAAAAAAAAAACAGTACTTTTAGATATTTGATCCCATTAGCGCAGTGGTTCTCAAACTTTTTCTATCATTCCCCACTTGGCACGAAGAAATATTTTCACACCCCACCTCAATAAAACAATGACAAAAAAGCCTAGGTGTAACTTTATGTAGATAATAATTCATTAACATTAATTTCTTCAGAAAAAAAAAAAACAGCTTTCACTTCAAACAACTTTCTGACATTTGATACTACACTGCTTCAATAGTCAGCACTTTTTTTTTTTTTTTTAAAGGCAGAATTAGCACCTTTCCAGAAGTACAACAATAAAATTCAGTCTGTATATATAAGAACAAATGCAGAAACAAATGCAAGGCATTTAGTGAGAGTTTAATTTGTTGGGTTTCATACTTTCAGCTGCCAAAGTTTTCAAACATAAAATACAGACAGGTCTCTCCTCATCTCCTATCATATTAACAGTTAAACCCAGAGCAAGATATGCTTCATCATACCTGTTAAATATCTGTCCATTTTGACCCTTTAAGGCTGTGATAGCAGTGTTTCCACAGCAAAAAACTGGCCATGGACCAGAAAAAACAGCTCTATCATGGCAACACAGAAAAGCTGGTCTCAGAATTTGGAACCGTAACATCAACGAAAGTTGAAGGGGATATCGCGTCCAAGCCTTCCGCATACCCAGAAAATTCAATCCATAACCAATATAGTTCAGTCTAATATTGCTGGTGCTGGCAGTGAAAAAAATTGCCAGCTTATTAGCGGAATATAATTTTTTTATTCTGTGAAAAACGAAAGATCGATCTGCTGGCCAGATTTAATAGTAAAGTATAAATATGTTGCTGGTTGAATAAATAAAATATTGTGACGCTTGAGTGGTGAAGAGACCAGGACGTCAGTTTTTAGAAGACTGTTTTACTGTTCATTCCCTAAAAGGGCAGTGGTGAAACAGTGAGCATAACCTCAATTAAACACACAGACAGGGGAGCCATTTACGGTGACAAAAGTGGATACAGGCAATTGACAGGGGGCAATGAGTCATATTCTGAAAACTATTTTTTCAGTTTAGCAGCTTATAAAAACTTAAAATCCAAAACAGATTAAAATAAATCCAAAAAACGAAATACAGATTTATTTTACTTTTGCCTTTGCCTATGTAATATTTCCATTCTGTTCTTTTTTGAAAGTGGTGGAAATGTGGGTTGGTTCTCAAAAGGCACTCCGCGAGAACCAGCCCAGCACCAACTTGATGTTGGTGGAAACAAGGCAATAGTGATAGCAAAGAGAAGTGTGGCTTAATTTTTTTTTGCCAGACACTGCTTATTACAGATGGGTGAAGATCTGGACCTTTTCAGATTTTGAGACAAATTGCACCAAAACTGAAGCAATGGTGCTTAGTGACAGCAAAGAAACCGGTTGTGAGATAGAAATTTGTGAGATAGAAATTTAAATAGGATAATTCTTTTTGATATTTTTATTCTATTTGATCTTTGATGGATCTTATTACTACTTCTCAAATTTACAATTTAGTTTAATATGGCCAAGAAATACTACATAAAACTCATAAAGTATGAAGAAAACGTCTGCCAAACCAGAAGTTGGAGTCTTGGGTCTGTGGTCAAGCCATCCACACATTGTATCGAAGTGCACAGATACTAGCTGTAAATAAATGATTTCATTCCCAGAAGTAAAATAAAAGGCTAATTCATGTACCTGATACATAAATATGTAGAGTACCTGATACTTGTACATGGTGTGTTGAGTATTAAGTAACTAAATGACTACAAAGCATTGTTTTTGTCTAATAAAAACATCGGTATTTTCCAAAGCAACACTATTCTGGTATTTTGAAATCTCGATGATAAAATTTTCCTACAGGTGGGTCCCACATGATGAATTCAAACCAGAAATTTTTCAGATACAGGGATGTTAACCATCTGAGTTACACCACTGTCTGATGAGACGCATTAAACATTAGGTACCTACATATCTACATGCTTAAATGAGGCTATTGGGCCATTTTTTAAATCAATGATGTTTCCTTGCTGATGGTGGCTACTAGTTGGGTTGTTGCAAAAACTGTGACCTGTGAACTGTGTAATTCTGCACCCCTATTCTGCACATTTAAGTCATAAAATGCTCATGGCACTTGTATTTCTGAAAATCAGTATGCTGATATTGTAGTGTGGAGAGTCCCAATCATAATAGATAAAATTCATGTTGTTGCATAGTTGTGTGTCACCATCTTTAGCTACATTGTTTACATGTTAAATAGTTTGCTAGTTTAATAAAAAGTTTGCTAAATTAAAAAGTCTATTAAAGACACTGTGTTTTATGCATATTCTTTGGTTCCAAAACCAGTTTGAGATGTGTTCAACACAGGGTTCCCGCGGGGTTTTAAAAAGTCAAAAATTTAGAAAGTTAAATTTAAGGCCTTAAAATGTCTTAAAAATGCCCAGATTTTCATCCTAGGTCTTAAGTTTAATTTACCCAAGTCTTAAAATTCTTATCTCCGTTCATTCCCAAAAAGCGTTGTCCGCAGAAAATAAAATAGTAAAACGCTGTAAAACTAATCAGTTGGTTGTGTTTTATGATCTGAACTGGTGTCTCCGTGGTAATAAAACTACAAAACCCATTGCGTGATCACTGCAGCTAGGCAAACAAACAGTTTGAGAAGGGTCTGGCTGCAGAACGTGCACTTTCAGCCACTGACGTTAGGTGCACGCTCAGCCACAACAGGAAGTGCAGGGGAATCAAGCGCTAACTTAGTTCTTGAGGCCAATGTGAATGGTATGTTATTTTATTATTGGTATTACTGAATGATATACTTAGAAATTTATTTCATGCCATACATTATTGCAATGTAAATGTTTTGATGTAGTGCGTTAGTAACTTTTTTCTCTGATGACTGGAGTAATTTTTTTCAGTTAAAAGGCAACTACTAGCCAGTAATTGGCTCACGTTATCTTGTAAAATAAACACATTTCTACTTTTACAGAGCTTTTCATGGAGTTACCTTGTGAATGTCTTAGTTTCCAGCATATAGTTTTTAGTTGTTCGTGTGGTCTTGAGGAGAACGTTTCTCAGTCTCCTTATGGTAAGGCAAGTTTTTATTATCATACACAGGGGTTAGTTAATGTGCTTTATAAAAACAAGATTTTAAAAAGTTAAACCAAGACAAAAAAGCAAAATAGAGATGAAAAAAAAAACTTATAAAAATTGCTTAGAAAATCTAAAAAATCTGATTAAAAGTGCAGTATGTCCTGCCTCGCTCGTCCACTCCTCCCGTGTGCCACGCCCCCTCGTTAACCCCGGGTGGAATCCCCGTGTTTATCAGCTGTTTCCAGTTGTTTTCATTATCGCTGATGGGTCTGGAACGTAACTTCCGCGATAGGCAGGGGATCACTATATATTTTATGGCTTAAACTATAAAAAAGTTTATGTATATGGTCTTACTATATTGCGGATTTTCACCTATCCCTGATGGGTCTGGAACGTAACTTCCGCGATAGGCGGGGATCCAGACCCATCAGGGATAGGTGAAAATCCGCGATATAGAAAGACCATATACATAAACTTTTTTATAGTTTAAGCCTTAAAATACCACTCCCACATGATTTAAACACATGTGAACTTATTAAAACGCACTTTGTAAACACATATGATATGTGGATGTTGGGCTAAGGATATGAATGACATAAAATATGAGAATTTCTGGTATCATTCAAATGTTTTCTAGTAATGCATCGTGTTGGTCTTAAATTTTACTCATAATGGTCTTAAAAGGTCTTAAAAAGGTCTTAAATTTAACTTACTGAAACCTGCAAGAACACTGTCAACAGGATACAGTCATGTTACATTGAAATTAAGAATAGTACAGGATGCAGTGGGGGTCTGTTTGTTACGTTTGTCTTTGGCAAATCATTTATTTATAGTTGAAAATAAATATTTCTAATTTTTAAATAAATATTTATAGGACTATATTATTTAAAATATAAAAGATCAAGGTATTTCTTTAGTTTTCAATTTATGGTTTTTAAATTCAGCTTCATAGTCTAGAACTGAACTTGTGTTTTTTCCGGTAATGGAGTTAGTGATGCATTCTTGACATGAACTTGACTTCAGTGGACTCAGTCACAGCACTTTAGGTAATATAAATTACTTTTGAAAGCATGGACATTAAGATATACTCAAGGAAATACAATGAGCCACCTATTTGGTGGGGGAAAATGGTGCTAATTGGCATGTAAGTGAAATGCACAATAATGAATAGGGGGGTATTCCATGAAGTAGGATTAAGGGAAAGTCTGACTTATTTTGACAAGTCAGTCTTACTTAAGTGAGAGTTTCGTTCCATCAACGTGTCTTAAATGAATCCCCGCTGAATTACCATGGTAATTTATACCTACGAACAAGTCTGCTCCGGACCAGGGGTGCGTTT